GGGGGGGGGACAGGGGCAGGGGGAGAGGGGAGACAGAAAAAGGATGACGGGAAAGAAAAGAACATGGGAGAAAAACAATCCGGGCAAAGTGAGTGAATGTAAAAAAGGTGGAAAGACAGGAGAGAGAAAAAGGAGAGAAGGACACTCTCAATCAAACAGGCAAGCGCCATCATTTTGCAATCCTCCAAAAATTACCTGCTCAAATTCAGATGTAGGGGAACTGGCTGACATGCTGATTTTAAATTGTGAAGGTGTCATTTATTTAAGGAACAGCATTTTGTACAAAGGCATAACCAGTGTGTCAAACCATTAGTTAGAACACTTTCACCTTTGTTATCATAAAATGCAAAAGGTCAGAGGACACTGGTTCTGTGCTTCAACTTTGTTGAGTATTTTTTTATACATTACTTCTGAGAGCATCGCAGCCCTCTGGAACTCACCCTCACCTGTTTAAGAACCACATTTTTGAGGATGTAGATGGGGGGCAGTTCCCGGAAGTCAGCAGCAGCTGAGATGGGCTTCCCGGTGCTGTGAAGAGCCACACCCCGGACGGCACCGCACCACTGCTTCCGTGTCCCACCACGCTGGTCCTCCACATCCGTCTGCAGCGAGTCTGAGCCAGTGTCTTACATGGTGGAAAAACAGGATGAACAGCAAAAAATGGGGAGGCAAAGCAAACAATAACTGTTTCAAAGTTGGGAATGGAGTAGCTGTGTATGAAAATACTCTGCCCTTCCTTACCAGAATAGCCAGAGTCCTTCTCTGAACTGCAGCATGAGCCCTGCCTGCCAGAGTCCTCATTCACGCCTGCTCTCCCTCGGGATGCCAGCAGGGCGGCGCTGTTGCTTTTGTCCTTGGCATTTTTGCTGGCTCCGCGGGGCACTCGCTCTCCCAAACAGAGCTGCTCCTTCGGCATAATGGACCCTGGAAAGGAACAGATTAAAAGCCTGGCAGAGAGGACAGCATAAATTATTCATACAACCAGTGTTTCCAACCTATTCACAAGTGAAGATTAACCATGTGACATCAGTACAGCGTTTTCAGGCACTGCTGTAGTTATCCAAATGAAAAAGCGCAACGTATAACAATTCAATCCATTTCCTTCTTTTAATTCACAGAAAGCCAAAGCCTGCCGATCTGCGTGCCATGAACTAAACACTGAATTAGAATCAGATTAAAGAATATCTACAAGGTTTTATGAAAGTGCTAAAAACTACGATTAAATAGAAACATTTGTCTTGTCTGTCATATCCCTACATTTTTAAAACCTTTTACTATTTATTATATATTTACTTATATATATTAATGTGAATTAATCACACACACACACCTTTATTTTTGGCCACCATCATATAACCAAATTTTCAATATTGAAAGGTCTTCTGTAAAGTTAAATCTATTATCAATACCCTTATGGCGCTACATAAACACACTTGTATGCATGACTAACGTATCTATACCTCAAAAACTAGGAATGTGAGAAAATCAAGATGTAGTTATCCAAATGAAAACTACTTTGCTTTTTTCTGCCCAGCGTTGTTTCTTTCCCTAAGCCCCCCCCCCCCCCATTTATGCTGGCGAATACCTCGACACCCCCCCGCGGTGTTGCCGAGCACGTGCGCGCGAGAGCGTGACGCGCACATGGTACAGAGCGTGCAGGCGTTGCGGCGAGCCGTGCGCCTGCATGGAGGCAGCGAATAAGTCATTCATGTACCACCCAAGAGCACCAGCACATCACACTTATCGCCTGGGCCGCCTACATCTCACGCACAGACCCAGACTAATATTAAAGGCAAACAGCGTTGCTAAACCTAGAAGCTACCCGGGAGACAGAAAACCACATTATACAAAGCCAATATCCATGTTTCACAATTTATGACTCAAACAAACGTTACGAACGACAAGTTTTAAAATGGAGACAAACGGCACAAATTAAAAGAATGGTGTGTTAAGATGTTCCTAATTTGATGCTGTGTGAAATACACATTTAAGGGACGGGCAAAGGCAAGAACCCCCCCTATCGTCACCGTCAGCGACCCAGGTCGCCAGCCTTCGCATGTCCGCACAAGACATTGCATAAGGGCCAGTAAAATAAGTGCCAGTCAGGAATTAAAAAAAGCAAGGTGGCAGTGGCGTTTTGCAAAACTTAACGACATAGAAGCGGAGTGGTGGGTAATGAGCGTGGAACTGGCAGGAGATGAGCTGGTCAGGACATCACCCATCACCACCACCCCACTTGTGGATTTCAGGCTTACTTTCCTCATAGCAACCCTGCACCTTTTAATTTGCAAGGTTAAAGCAAGCGAGCACCTTACCCCCTAAACCTGTGGACACCCTCGCGTCACTCGCAAGTTACTAGAAACTCGGAAGGAGACCGTCTAACACTTTCTAGAAATAGGACCAGATTGTTGATCTCGAGTATTTGGATTTTGCTTGACTCGGGGGAGGACCGCTTGTCATAGTGTGCTGCAGAGTGGACGTGAAAGGAGAATTTATTGTACGATTGCCACCCCGCTCGACTTTCCGAGACCCCTGCATTAAATTTACATTATTACTTTCTTGCCTCATGAGAGAGAAGTCTTATATCAATTATACTCGAGACAGCTTATCTGTACTGTTAGGGAGCAGTTCGGGACCGGAGCCAGCCTCTCCAAACCACCTCCTCCTGCCTCTTATGTAATACAGTTACTTGGCAGAGGGAAAAGGCCGCCCGATATCACCCACTACCTTTCGTAACATTCATAAACGGACGCCCAAACAACTGTTCATGTACTGGTTATATTGCTCAGGTACTGGGGTTCATATTTATTAAGTTTAAGAAGTTATGTGGCTGCTGTTAGCAAAGCAGCGGCTTTTCCCATTGACCCTTGTCAGAAGTATAAGGTAAATGTATCGAAGCTGACGCCGCTGAGCCCGAAAAACAAAAAAGCGAAAATCCGCAGTCATAAAATTTCTTACCTTTTTAAATCCTCCTTCCTTGAAAGCGCAAGGCTAAGAGATTATAAACTTTTCAGTTTAGCATTGCCCCGGATTACAAGATAGCTGCCCGGTCCCCGAGATTCCTTAGGCGGTGTCATCTCCAGATCCGAGTCACGCCGCCGTGTCCACGAAGCAGCACCACGGCGTTTAAAGATGAAACAATGATCCACTGTACCTGCAACTTTTACAGTTTGCTCGCGAGTCCCCCAACTCCGGTGGAGGAAACCCACCTGAGGAGTCCGCCCATACGCTGACTGACATTTTCATTTCTCCGCTGATCATGCGGAATTCCATCTAATCCTGCCCAAGCGGGAGAGGCGTCACACAGGGGTCGCGCTACAGCCAATCCCAGGAAAGTCACAGGAGAGGGCGGGCCTTTCCCAGACCAGCACATCCACGTGAGCGGAGCACAGAGGGAGGAGCTACCGGCAAAGGAGGCGTTGCCATTTTTGATCCTGAATGCATGCAGCAGATTCAGAAAAATAAACCCTAAAGTATTAGCCAGAGTAGACGGTCGGGAAGCAGGGTAGTGATCTACTGATGGTTACGCATCTTAAAACCTACTAACGTTCTCTCATGCTCAGTCACGCTAGATATGAGCTACCGTAAACATAACCGCAATGCACAATTACAACTAGTAAAACTATTTTTGATTTTAACGCATTAATGTTGCATATCGAACAGATTTGTTTTTTCTTCCAAAAAAAAAAAAAAAAAGACTTCCCAATTTGGTTCAATGAGAGTTAAGAAACACAACACGGGGCAAAGCCGCAGATCCTGCAGCGGCGTCCTCACGCGCTGAGCTCAGCATGTAGAACAGTCAGTTGTTGTGCTACTTCACGTGGCCCCGCCGGAACGCGCCGGCGTGGTCGTACGGCACTCCACCAATCAGCAAGGCGAGTGTGTTTCGACATGTGAGCAGAATGAAAGGGAGGCGGAGACAGAACGGGCACCTCACATGTACCGCTCGATGAACGGACTGGAACAGACCTGACGTCAGAGCCCGATCTGCACGTTGTTTTCGAGTGAGGTCATAGCAATCCAAGTATCCCACGCGCCAGTTTCCTTTCTATAATTTGGCAGATAAGCAGAGTTCAAAGCAGAAACCTTTACACCGAAAAGACTGAACAAATGGATATTGCAAAGTTCAATTTTAATGTTTGCAGCAGTTTTTTTTGATTTTAAAATTTTACAAAAAAAATTTAAGATTTTACATGGAAACACTTAAAAACCAAGTGTCAATGTGCTTTAATACAGCTTACTGAATCCTGCTAGCCGACTAACATACTAGGTTCTCACCTTTTTTTTTTTTTTTTTTTAAACATCTAAAGTACAAACATTCAGTAGGACAACACACACCCTCCCAAAATGACTGCAGATAAGGAATAAAAAGATCTAATCCACAAAGGGAAATTCCTGCCCAAGGTAAAATGCCTAGAGCAGCACATTCAAACTGATACATTGTTTACTCACAAAAATACCCAGAAATGCCATCTAGCAGCAGGGCTGCCTGAGGAAAGATGCCAAATTCTCAGCCTTCATTGGTTACTTAGGATTAGCACTGAACTGAGGGGCAGGACACATTCCCCTGGTCTTATTGAACTGTGGGGTTATCCAGCCTTAATCCTGCACACGTGCACCACCCAGTTCCTGTTGCCTGCTTTACAGTGTTCCTTCCCGCGTCTGGGCTCGGGTCTGAGGGCAGGGAAGGCCCAGAAGACGTGGTGCACCCAGCAGGGCCGGGTGCGTGCTGACATGCAGGGTCTCAACAGTGGAGAACTTCATAAAGGAGGCGCGGGTCTCCCGCCCTTGCGCTTGGGCTGCTGCCACTGCCAGGACCTGCATAATCCTCTGGAGAGTGGGCTCACTGACAGGGGTTAGGAAGCAGGGGACTAGGTTTTAAAATGACATTTAACATCAAAGACCAGTTTAGGTACAAGTCATATCAACCACTGATTGCAACAGCAGCAATGTCTCATTCCAAGTAGTGCAATGGAAGGGGACTTTAGTATTTTATTGCTGCATAAGCACTTCCTCCATAGGGATGTTAGGTACTTCAGGTTGCTTACATCTTAGCCAAGACGTCAATCCAAAGATCAACATCGATACAGATCATGACTTTCTACATAAACAACCCAAGAGGCAAATCTGTTTTCATAAAAAATAAGTTAAATATAAATGCAGATGGACTCTGCTACAATCAGGGTTCCCACTCATCTTGGAAAACAGTCAGTTTTCCAGTCATGGAAAATCTTCTAGCGTCCTGGAAAAATATTTCCGCAAATAAATATTGTACTGAATATCAAAACTTGATATGCTACATGACAGTACATGATTTTCCAAGACATTTTACTTACTAAATTTCCATGCATTTTCCATGACCAGACTATTTCCAGGACGAGTGGGAACCTGGATGGTTACTAGTTATAAATCTTGAAGTACGCAGGTTTATTCCCGCAGCAAAAGCTGCTCGGCTGCGTAAAGCAATTCATTCTCACTTCAAATCGCCCATTATTTTAACATGAATAAACCATTTCCTGTTGAGGAGGATCTTAAATAAAGGGAAGATTTATTTACAAATTTTAAGGCAGTTTCTCTGCCTAAACTATGCAGTACTATAATAAAAATTTTGCTTTGTCAAAACATGCTTCTGAAAAGGTCCAAACCTGCATGAGAGGAGACTGGCAGCAACACACCAGGCTGTCTCACCCTCAGGAGTGAGGGGCTCCTGTAGTACCTGACGAGCAAGGCAGAGGGCAGCACTGGCCAGTTCTACTGGCTGGAAAACAGCACACTGGCTTTCTAGCAAGGAAAGCTCTAGTAGGTATCGGGCCATCCACACTACCTGGAAAGAGACAGAAAGTTGGTACCAGGAAGTTTAGCTGGACTGGGGGTGGCCAAAAACAAACAAAAAAAAACATTCTGACCTTGTTGCTGCAGCGGGCAATGGTAGCAGAGAGCAACAGAAAGTGCAGGGGAGGGCAGTGAGAAAGCTCAAATTCGAGCTCACACAGAACTTTACGTTCCATGCGGAGAAGCTGCCGTTTGCCATAGCTGTTGTCCATCAGGTAGCAGAGCTCAGATATCTGGGGAAAAGAAACAGCCATCTTAAATTAAAGCAGGGCTGAAATAAAACAAGCAGCCTTGAAACAGCGTTACATATACCTCAGGTAGCAAGCACTCCTCTTTCTTGGCAGCCAGAAAGAGACAAACTATTCCCAACAGCTGCAGATGGTAGATGGACACCTTGATCTGGCGCATTGCACGGTTTAGTAAGTAGATGGCTAGATAGAGAGTCTCCTCAGAGAAGTGGAAGATATCCTTCAAGGGGGAAAAGCAGGACAGGGGCCATTCATGCCATTTGCCAACCAGAGCAGTTCAGCAGAAGAGCCAATGGTAGACTTACTTCAAAGGACTCGCATGGAAACACTCACATGAACCTGAATGAGCCAGTCCACCAGGATGGCATGGGTAGTTTCGGTAAAGGGTTTGGGAAGTGCAGCACTTGGGAAGGTATATCGCAACTGGCTTCTCTAAAAGACAGAGGTGGGCCTCATTAACAATGAGAATCCATTTCTAATCTGATAGTACCAAGATGAGAGTCCATACATCTCAATTGAGAGTGTACCCTAGTGGATTAGTAGTTTCAACCTATATGCACACGATTACGAGCATCACATCTGAAGTTCAAGAGCAAGTGGCCTTACCATCATGTCCGAGAAGACATCCCAGGCATAAGTGCGATCATAGATGAGACCCAGATTCTCCATGGCCAGCTCCACCTCCCGATGTAACAGGCTTGGCAGCAGTACCTGAAGTCTGTGCAGGCCATGCAGACGCAGCAACAAGGCCGCCTCCTCCCGGCCATCTGCAGAGGGTCACGGAGCATAAAACCCCAACCGACGGCCTAGAAGTTCAAATCTTCTGAAAGAACTACAGTACAAGCAAATAAAAATTATGTCCTACTAGTATGATTAAAGTTTACAGGCATACTCAACTGCTACTCAACTGTAATTCTGTATTAAAATTTTCAACCAAAAGTGGTGCGCTAAAAGGTCAGGTGACCCAAGTGGCCAGTGGTCATGGCTGAGACATACTTCAAGAGCCATATAAGATAAAATTAAGACTAAGGATTTAATGTTGCTCAAGTAAAGGCAGGGTAACTCATAGGGTAATGACGGTGGACGCCTGAACAGCACATACAGAACCTGTGTGTGAGGCATCCTCCTGCTCAACATAGTCCATGATGATCCCATCTTCTGCAGTTAACGGCAGCCTCCGGTCCTGACGGAGACACAATGGTCAGATTCAACAAGGCGGTATAAAACAGTCAGTACCGGAGAGTGTGGGATTGGTTTGGACGGCTGTCGGCATTCATACCCATCTGCGCTCTGGTTCGGCTTTGCAAAGCAGCACCCGGGGCTCCTCACTGGCTGCCGGCAGCCGGCGCTCCTTGGGGACACAGGCGTTGGCCCAGGTCCGCAGTGGAGCGCGCTTCTCCTCCGTCTACGCACAGCGCAAGCCGCGCACGTCACACACCCCAACTTTCAAGCAGGACTCCACACAACCTAACAGACGGCTTGATTCATATTATACTCTCCCTCTTAGCAACACACTACCTTCGAAGTATAGAATAAAATTGTCTAAACTTATTTTAGGTAGGCCTATAGGTCGCCGTCGGGGTCAGAGGACTACTGTTCAATGTTACTCTCGAAAAACTACAACAGCTCTTATACTTAAGTTTTATGCTTGTACAATACTGATGAGAAAACATGATTAAGTCGGACTAAAAAAAATAGATATTGATGACGGATGAATGCAAGACCGACCATAAAGCCTGCAGCTCCATAGGCACGCGCAGGAACTGACTTATGTACTAAGCAATACTTTCTTTTTAGTACAAATTCAATACAAAAGTGTTACTTGGTATGAATTTCTATACTGATTTTAGAATTGCGCCGACTACGAGAACTTTTACTATATCAGTCCCCAATCTGCTGAGAATTTAATTTTCAGCATTACAAAATTAAAAATGCAGCAGGTGACTTCTTTAACAAAACATATTAAGAATTAGGCTTATGCCCGTGAATGGCAATGTTTAACAACTTTTTCCACATGCAAGAACAAATTATCATTTTAAAGTCGAGGACCCGATTTAGTCCGTTTGATAAACACTTGAGGGACACTATTAAAACCAGCTGAATGAGCGCAATGCATTAAATCTTCTTCACAGGGAGCAACACTAGACGCCTCAAACACTGGACTAACAAATACACAACGAGAGACTTAATTTGGCCAACAGTGAACCACCAAGGATAGCCGTGAAAAACCCAACAGAATGCAAATCAGTCCCATTACCGTTTCCCCACACTCACATTGTGAGGCACGCATCTAGTTACAATTTTAAAATTGATTTAAATCATTAATTTAAACCTTGAAAGCTTATAGCTGTTCCTTTTTCTTTTTTAAAAAAAGATTTCAGCTTCGTTGTCAGGATGGTTTGCATCGAGAACTTGGACCTTCGCAGGGTTGCCGACTTTGGTCAACTGGCTAGCGTCAGATTTTCAGTTCGGAACCAGACTGCACTCTTATTTGCATGAATGGAACAGTTTTATTACCTTGTAAATAGTCTGTAAGGTTTGCAAAACTACCAACGCTTTTGATGTAGCTAATTTTAGGTTTATAATGGAACAGTATAGATTTGCTTTAAGATTCCTTGCGTGAGAGTGAAAACGTGAGTATCACGCCAGATGCGTGAGAGTTGGCAACCCTGCCTTCGTACCCGAGGCCGCAGAGTGTGCACGGTGTTTGCCACAGCTCACCTTCTTGTGTAGGTCCATTGGCCTGGAATCGCAGAAGCCCGTTTCGGCCATAGCGACTCGTAATGGAGGTGGCGAACCGGCCTTGCAGGAGATCAGTTACCAACGCTCTACTCCCACACCTAATACGCTCCCGTACTTAATTAATTGGGAAGGGGCGTGGTTGTTCATTTATGAAGTTGGTGACCGCGATCTCTATTTTTAACCACCAGATTGTATAAATGAGTGCAAGAGCGCGAGTGTTGAGTTGGCTCTCAACCTCTGGATGGGGCTACTCGCCTCACCTGTAAGTTGCTTTGGACAAAAGCGTTTGCTAAATAAAAGTAAATGTAATGCTGTATCGCGATTCTTGCTATACCTCTTAAATGTGCATGATGGATATAATTATAACCATGCAGTTATGATAAAATATCGCCATACCGCCCAGCACTACCAACGTTGGTATAAGCAGGGAATAACCCATCCTACGTGGCAGTGGCGAAAGCAGCCCGTGCCCCCCACGTGGATTGTGGGATCACGTGTCACCCGTCCTCGTAGTAGGCGAACAGCTTGGTGTGGATGGGAAGTAGGCAAAAGATGTTACTTTAGGTAGGCTACTAATTGGAGGCGCAGCTTCACCCTCATACAATGCGTACATTGGAACATGAACGGCACATAAAGCCCTGCGTCTGTGGCCCAGCAGTGAGAGCTGCTCGATGACTAAGGACCCCTGGTGTAGTCTCAGCGCTGGTATGGTGGTTTACAGCTGTGTGATCTGGGCCGTAAACAGACATACACCTGTTAATTCTGTACTTACTGTCTCACGTATGGTTATTATACGCCTGAACTTCTCCATTCTCCAGGACTGGAGCTAAAAGCCAAAAGCAAGCTGCTTCAGTGGCAGGAGACGTGCTGTGAGTAGCAGCTAGGTATGGACATTCTGGGCTTTGCGGGCTGGCTCGCTGTGACTGGGCTGCTCATAATGCCCTGTAGGTCTCCGTGTTGCCTGTTGACCCAGTCACAACCCCACTGGCTCTCTTTGCTTCCACAGAAGATCCGCACGGAGGACTCTCCCACCATCGTCGTTGCTGACCTCATGAAGCTGTGAAATTTTTGTGCCCAGCAAGGTCAGCTCACACTCACGCTGAAGCAGCACTTATGCTGTAGCATGGTCAGCTCACACTCACAATGAAGCAATGCTTTCAGTGTGGCGCGTGTCATATACAGGGGGCTGTGAAACTCTGGGAGACCATGCACAGCCCTTGTATTTTTGGTTTATCTATGCCTGTAGTAGTTATTATACTGGATCCATATAATGTGCAGTGGGGCAAAAAACAAATGGGTTAATAGCTCTAGAACCAAATGAGATTCATGTCCTGTAAAGTGTGCACTGTTCGGTGACTAAAATGGGGCTGAATGAGAGGTGAATATTTGTTTGTGTTTGTGTGTCCGCACCTTGAGTGTGTGAGCTGAGCTTGCATGTGTTGGGAAGACTTCACTTCACTTGCAGGTCAAATTGCTTATTGAATCCGCACATCCTGATTTTGCCAAGTTCGATGTGTCCCTGGGTCAACAAGGGAGCGGCTTGCATTTTCTTTAACCAATCACAGTCTGCATTGTATGACATCACCACATTAATTAAAAACACTAAGTGGCAAGGTGCACAGATTTCTAATGCACCTGTTTTATTGTGTATGCCTTTCGTTAAGGGATATAGATAGACAAAATAGAGGAATCTGCGGGCCTGTAAAGGCTGTACAGAGCAATGTTAGGATGATGATGACAGCAAGGCTTGAATAAGCAAAAGTACAGAGGCTTGGCCTGCTAAACCAAATGCTGCTGCTGGCTGGAAGCTTTGAGTTTGAAAAAAAAAAAAAAAGAACCAATGTGATGATGTCATATGATGAATAATGTGATTGGTTAAAGAAATGAAGCACAAGCCCCTCCCTTGTTGACCCAGGGACACATCAAACTCTGCAGGATGTCCTAGTGAATCCTTCCAGCTCTATTCCGTCAATACTCTACACGTCATGCCAGGATAACGGGCATTCATTTATAACAGCCCTATAAAACTGCCGTAGAGCAACACAACTATAGACAGTGATTTTCCATTGTTATTTTATAATAATGCTGCAGTACCCCAGTTCCCATATCTTTGTTGGCAAGTTCATACGAATGATAGCAGCATACCACTGTGATCCAGCCATTTTCGACTTACGGACAGAGAAAGATTTTTAAATTTTGAAGCCTCTCAAGAGTTAAACTTGGATATCAAACTTGTTTTTCTTTCAACAAGTTGGTGGCAAGTTCTAAATGAGAACAATTAGATATGCTTCATGCACAGACATCTTTATCAAATTTAGGACAAAGTCAGCTATAACTAGAAGGATGAAATTAAAAGTTCGCATCTGTGTTTCAGAGACTTTGGCACAGTGGGTAGTATATGTTACTGCCACAGCTTAATAAGGATTTGTGGTGCATCATTCAGTCACACATACATTACTATTGCCTAATGCTGACACTCTGTAGGGGACACTACTTTTGTAAAGGACAAAGAATAGCCTGTGAAATTTTAAGTACCTAAATCTCACTATATTTACTGTGTTGTACATAGTTTATTTATACTAGCAGTCCTTGTCCTGATATACACTTCTGCACTCTTTACACATTTATCAATAACGCATCTATGTCGTATGTAACAACTATATTATATTCGACCATTGTTTTGTCTTAACTTTGTATCTATTGTATATATGAGAGCTATTAACAACCAGAACCACATTCGCTGTACGTGAACATACTTGGCCAAGTAAACCTGATTCTGATTAATATAGGAAGGATTCATCAAAACACTATTTTCAATTTCAGAAACATTGATTCAGGAGCCAAACATTTAGATATAAACAATGCTTTCAATTGCTTATGTATTCTTAACAAAGCTGTTAAATACGGATTGTTTTAAGCTTTACATGCATAGTGGTTTCCTAAAAGTCTTACAAATACCTGACCACATGATTACATAATATTCAGATGTGACATTATACTGAAATAACACAGCCTTGTAATTTTTGTTTTTTTTATTCTGGAGAAACTATTCAGACTATCATTGGCCTATGGTTCATGTAGCTCAGGGAGAAAATACATGTAACATTTCATTAATTAGTCATTTATTACAATTATTCTATGGGGGATTCTCAAAACAGCTGTCATTTTGTTTTTTCCCTTTAAAGCTCAAACGTTTGGTGTGTAGTGTCCCCCAGCTGCACATTTAGAGAACCTTTCTAACACACAAACACGCAAAAGTAAAAGTTACATTCCTTACTCCACTCGCTTTCCCAATAAGAACAGTTCAATACTATTGGTAACAGCTAGTTCCAGAAAGAGCACTTGTAAAAACTGCAGAAATATGGCTTAGAACCTCAGCAACCAGACAAAAGGGGAGGAAGTGTAAAATTCCCCTCCCATGCAGAATTAAAAAAAAAAAGGTTAAAATATTTTAAAATATCAGGTTTTTGCTTAAGGTGGGACTTCCTGCTTGTGTGAGGCTAACCTGCTGGAGAAGGGGGCGTGTACCACAATGACCACACCCTCCAAAGCTCACATGCTGCCAGGCTGCTTGTGCGCTGCGGTGTGTAATTTAGTGCGATGGGAGCAGGCGGCGGGATCCAAAGGCAGCTCCCAGTGCAGGCCTAGGTCATGCTGGCGATGTCAGCCGCTTGCTCATTCATCCCTCAGTCACTTCCGGATCAGTGAGTGTTTCCGCTTTTTTTAAAAAATCTTTTTTTATTGCATCACCACAGGTGATTGAGTGTGGTGTGTATTTGTGTGAGAGACCATCATTCCCGTATGCTGGCACTGGCAGAGTAGGAGAATTGGGGAAAGTGTGTGCGCTGGTCTGGGTCTTCACCATCCAGGCTGTCATCTGTAAAACAATGGGGGGTGGAGGGTCAGTGACTGCACACTGGCGTGACTCAACATCGCAATGCCGGCATTGTTGTCACAACCTGCACCATATAAACAATTGTCAATGGAGACGTGTATATATGTATATATGACAGTCAAGCACATGTACTCACACTGATCTGGGGGTGTGACAGTGATCGTCTGTGCTGTGAACTCGTCATCAAAGTAGCGTGTGTCCGTCTCCGATGTCACTTGGGGCTTGAATGGTGGGATGAGCTGGTGGGGGGGCACAGGCAACAAGGCCACCACGTGAACGTAAAAATTAGCTGACCGATTTCAGCACCCTCCATTCAATCCTGCAGAAGACTGACCCCCCCCCCCCCTTACCTTCTTCTGCAGGACATCCTGCCAATTTATGGATACAAAGAACTTATGGGTCATCACTTCTTTGGCATCGTCAGGGCAGCCCCCAAGTCTATGAAAGAAAACACCGTCACACGTCTGCACTATGCTCGGTTTAATCACTCATACTGTAAGACTGTGCCTGTGTGCAGTTCTGCCCACCTCTGCTTGGGGTCCTTTTTCAGCAGCCCGGCCAGCAGCGCCCGAGCCTCAGGCGACAGGTTCCTGGGGAAGCGGATCTCCTCCATCAGGATCTGCTCAAAGAGCCGCTCGTGGTCCTGGTTGTAGAAGGGCAGCCGGCCGCACATCATCTCGTACATGACCACTCCCAGCCCCCACCAGTCCACCGCTCGCCCGTAGTCGTTGTCCTCCAGAACCTGTGGAGGACGACAGCAGATGGAGATATTCAGGAAGGGGAATGCAGGACAGGATCTTTTTCAAGATGCTGTGCATGTTACCTCAGGCACCTCGAATCACACTTATACACAGGCTCAGGATTGTTGACTTGATCATGTTTTGTTTTTCATACTTAATTTTGACAGGTCTCTTTCAACTGTTGCAGTGATGCATCGCTTGCATGTTGCAAAAATGTCTAGAAATGTGTCAGCAACGACATCACAAAGACCTGTGAAAATCACAAAACCACTTAACCACAGAACCTACAGAAGTGGCACAGAAACACAACTCAGCAGCATTTCATATACAAGAAAACTGCTTATGCACAGCTGGATATTCTACGGCCAAAGAGGGAGCAGGAATGCTGAACACTAGGTCCCTTAGTGTCTTTCAATACCTTCTCTGCTTTTTGTACACAAGCACTGCTACATAAACCATATGTCCTCAGTACAATGATATGGTGACTCACAGGTGGCCTGGTAGGTCACAGTACATTAAAGAATGGCAGTAAGTAGCAGCATCAGACTATAACAGTAGCAGACAAAATAATAAAGACTAACTGAACAAACAGAAAATGAGTGCTGATACACTGAGCTGGATTTTGATCTTTCATATGTGGGTTGAAAGACTGTCCTGAAGGTCTCCAGTGGAATTAGGCTCATGGGACTTTTATTTACACAAAAATGTTCTGAGGGCAGAATGAAAAATGGTTGGTTATCTCTCAACCAATCAGATTGCACAGGAAGTGGAACCAAGAAATCTGATTGGTTGGTCCCACCTCCGCTACAATATGATTGGTTCAGAGACATAACCAGTCCTTTTTCATGCTGCCCTCCCATCGCTGGAAGCTGACCCTTACGTCACCCTAGCAATGGCCAACCCTGCACTCTGACCCCAGCCTTTGCTCTCACCTGTATATCTGTGTCTCACTAGAGAGCAAGATGGGATGTGCAAATACTGAACTTCACCGTCACAATGACAATGAAGGCATTCTATTCCATCATACTCCAACCCTATGACTTGAAAGTAGAAACTGTTCCAAGTCCTGCTGTCTTACTGTGATCTGCTTTATTTCAGGAATGTCATATCAGCTGAACATAGTGTGTGTCCAGCCGTGGCAGAACTGACTGAATGTAAACACGTGTGAAGCAGACAGGCAGGCACTACCTCAGGTGCTAGGTACTCTGGGGTGCCACAGAAGGTCTTCATGGTGGCCCCGTCCGTGATGCCCTCCTTGCACAGGCCAAAATCTGTGATTTTGATGTGGCCGTCTTTGTCCAGCATGAGGTTCTCAAGCTTAAATGCAAAAAGAGAGAAATAAAATGGGTTGGAGATAGGGGGCACAGCTTCAAAAACCTTTCCACAGAGTTGTAGTCATGAAGTGCACTCCCCAGAAATCCGAGTTCTGACACCAATTACTGTAATCTCACCACAAAAATTTTAAGACAATACTACTGCCATTGAGGTTGCAAATGTAAAATACACTAGAGGTGATACACACTGACATCGCCACACATTTTGTGTTGACCTGAAGGCTGACGCTCACCTTGAGGTCCCTGTAGACGACATTGCGCGAATGAAGGTACTCCAGGGCCGACACGATCTCGGCACCGTAAAAACGGGCCCGGTCCTCGGTGAACACGCGCTCCCGGGACAGGTGGAAGAAGAGCTGCGGGCACATCGGCTGGCGTCACTGCGTGCCTCCGTCACGGGCGCTACGACTCACGCAAAGGCGGTGTGTTCACTGGGAGGAGGGCACACTGGCACTCACCTCTCCTCCGTTGGCGTACTCCATGACAAAACACAGTCGGTCATGTGTTTGAAAAGCATACTTCAGTGTCTAAATGTAGGAACAAAATAAGCCACACTGTCACCAGCCCGACTCAGCTGACAGGCAGAGAAACACATGGAAGCACTGCAGTGGGGCTAGGGAACTGGAGTATAGGATGCGAGACGGTACTGACAGTGAGAAAGGGGTGTCTGGTGTTTTGCAGGACCCTGCTCTCAGTCACCGTATGCGCGACCTCATCCTGGAACACACAGACACACAAACATTTATGCAGGCCTGCGACATTCCAGCAGAAAGTCATTTTGACATCCTACACCAGGGCTATTCAACTCCAGGACTGAGCACTGCTTTTCCAGGCTTCCTTCACCTGTGAGCCAGGTGTGAAGCCTCTGACCAATCAGAATCAGTAATTATTAAACTAACTACCTGGGAGAACTGAAAACAAGGCCTGGATTTGGAATTGAGGGCCTGAATTGAATAGCCCGGTCCTACATCATCAGAAAACCCTGATCTGCACTGGCTATGATACTAGCATGAACTGGTTCAGGACAATTTATTCCCAAGGTATGTACAGCTACAGAGGGCAGGACACTTACACTCACCATTCAAGTTCCGAGAGAAACAGCACAAACCACCTACCTTTGCAATAATAACTTCCTTGCGCAGAATCTTCATTGCATAGTACATCCCTGTGGCTTTTTCCTTGACCAGGATCACTTTGCCAAAGGTCCCCTTTCCCAGCAGCTTAAGGTAATCAAAGTCACTCATTGTCTGCAAGAGAGGGACAGGTTAACAGCAATGAAAATGTGACCCCATCCGTTAGCAGAGGCCAGACAGAGGTATAGTAAAAAGCTGTTAGCTTCCCAGGCGCATTGGAAACAGACCACTTTGGATCGAGTCTTGCACACAGACACTTCCATCTCCTCCATCCCGCTGCAGTCACTGGGGGAGCCGAACTTGACATCCATGGGTTCCTCTTCCTCCTGTGTCTTCAGGCCACTGGCCACTGATTGGATGGCCCGCATCCATTCCTCCCTGAGATCGGGGGGGGGGGGGGTGTTACGGTTTGACACACACCATGGCACAGGCATCAGTGTCACGCCTTGATGGTCATGCGAGGGTTATGGGCAGAGACAGCAGTGTTCTGAAACCTTCAAGCCCCCTTTAGTGAGATTTCATTTTTGGGTTGGATTGGGGTGGGGTTGCTGAGTAAAGTGGTGCTCAGGCCAGGGACACAGATGGCGGGGGGACACATCAGGGTCCCTATATAATTGCGGGTGACAAGGGCCCTCTACTTCTGCGGGGAAAAAACTATAAAAAGTAAGTAGCATCCCTAATTAGGGATGGATACTGTGATGTTTGAACTCAAACTGTGTCGACCAGCACAAACTACTCATAGCGTTTATACCAATTTAAAGAAGGATAACTCAAACACTGATGTCACTTTCGAAAACATTTTATTCAAAAACATCAAAGTCTGCCACACTTGTGACTTTGCGCATTCTGCTTGTATTCTGCCATTGCGGGTTTTGGGTCCTGAACGAGTTGAGATCTGAGCTGTCTAAAGTTGTGCCCGATTGTGCAGTTTTGGTCACACAGACCGAAGCGGTATGCGATACAGGACAAAAGCAACCCATAAATAAATGATCTATCACATAAAGCAGGACTCTTAAAATCTGGACCTCAATTCCAAATCCAGGCCTTGTTTTCAGTTCTCCCAGGTAGTTAGTTTAATAATTACTGATTCTGATTGGTCAGAGGCTTCACACCCAGCTCACGAGTAAAGGAAGGGTGGAAAACCAGCAGGGCTCAGACCTCAAGGACCGTGATTTGAATAGCCCTGACATAAAGGCTAAATCTGTACCAGGGGTGGCCAATCTTATCTGCTAAGGCCCATGCACATTTTTAGAATAACTTAGGTTACCTGTTCAAACCGAGGTGTGACAACTCTGGAGCCAATAAGTTCTGTATTGAATAACCTCATTAAGGAGTAGCAGCAAAAACCCACACACACAGCGGCCTTTTCCGGATGAGACTGGCCACCCCATCTATACCTAGCATTTTTTGGATGCGACTTAACAAAATTTTCCCCATATCCCTGACAGGCTCATTTATGTTACTGCAACAAAGAAAACAACTTTTCATCTAAGTTTGACCTAATGTTAAATTGTCTAAAAATAAAGCAATAACACTATGAATGTGTCCTCACACAATATGTAACAGAGTATACTGGGGGTCAGTAAATTTAAACTTGCAACACATTGTAGAGATGGCTCTCTTGTTTAGGTTATTGTCCAATAGGTCATTTGTGGATAACTGGCATTTAGGTAAGCTAGATAAACTCTAAAGTTGAGACCTTTTGCACACTGTCTGGTCTCCCCCCAGGTTTACAGTGGAGAGACACCATATCCTAAGAACTGCAGCCCATCACCACCTCTTTCTCTCCCTCCCAGAGGGAGGGCTCTGGCTGCTCCTCACCGCTCGTCATTGCTGTCCACGTGGAAGGTGCGCTCGATGACGGTGGTCCACTGCAGACAGCGGATGACGAAGGTGTTTGGCCGAGGCCTCTCCGTCTTCATCAGCTGGCATTCTAGAGCATGACGGGGTTTGGCAGAAAAGTGTTAAAGGGCATTCAGTCATATTTAATGGACAAGAACATACAGCGAAAGCCTCAATCATGCTCCCAGAGCCCGACGTAGGCCCCGGAGTGACAGACCTGCCACAGAGAAGTTGTTGAGGGGGGGCAAGGTGATGTCAGACATTTCCTGTTTCTCTTTGTAGCCAATGAAGGAGCCATCGCTCTTCAGAATGAAGTACCGCGGCCTCCATGTCTTGATGTACTCCCCTGCAAGCGGACGCACAGAGACGTGTCCTCATCAAAAAGCAGCTTAAAGGCGTGGGCTCTGTGGGCCACAGCCCGGCAGGAACGCGGCGAACTGGGGGGGGGGGCCTCCTCACCTCGCTTCTGCAGCCAGCCCTCTTTCACCACACTTACTTCATTCATGCTGAGGCAGCAAAGTTATGGG